TACATCTATGCAAAATTGAATCACCCTAATGTACGATTAATTGTTAATGTGTATGTGCACAATCAGTTAGTGACAGTAAACCGCCAAGAAGCATGCCGCGCATTTCAAGGATGTTGTTGATAATTGCTAACGGAGAGTATAAAATCCGTACACATACGCAAACGAATAAAAAAGAAACTCGACTACAGATGCAAACACATGAATAAGTACATATACATATATTTAATTAAACTTGCTGAAGTTTATCTGTAGTTGAGGTCGTCAACGGACAGCGGATTTTACATATTTAGCATTAATTAACGTTACGCTTCTTTAGAATACTTCGAAAGTATTGAATTTGTAGAGTATATAGAGAGGTACTCATCCCGGCGGTTATGGAGACACAAGTCGGCAGCATGAAATGATGTGAAGCTTACTTGCGCGCTTGCTGACTACTTTCTCCGAAGTAGTTATACATCGAGGAATAATAAACGGCCAGTAAGAACCGCCAGAAATCACCTAACTTCAGACCTGGGTTAACTAGGTTAAGTTTGGCTATAGCGGCTGTCCTTTTTCCTGTAATGCCGTTAGAGTTAGTCATTAATTCCGCTCTTATATTAACATACTACATACAACGAAATAGAACCACTTGGATATATTTATGAAGAGCTGTAAACAGTAAAGTGTCGGAGAAAGTGTTTGACTTGACATTTTTCATTTTCCTCTATTTATCCTGGAACTTATAAGCAATCGTCATTTCGTACAACGTGATTGGATGCACTACTTCTTTATGCACCAAGTATTTTCACAATAGCCAAGACTTGAAATCGTAAAAGCAGAATGTTTAATGTTAAATTCAGTTCGAATTTTCTATCTCAGTCGGCTTTTTCAACGGGAGAGGAAGGTCCTTGAAAGGTCCGTGAATTCTATTTTGGGCCATGAATGATCAGTTTCCTGCCTTTTCGTGGACGAAAAGTCAGAAATTAAAATATGTTTCCTCCCCTCAGACTTGCAGTCTTATCGACGTTAACTTGAGGGTTCTTAAAGCGTAAGAGCACTAACATCGATCCTTATTGCTGCTTACAACGCATCCTGGCCTCTTTCCAGCACTAAACGTAGATCTAAACCTCCCAAGGTGGAATAAATAGCTGTCATCAAAAAGACACGGCGTACTAGAAATTTTCAAAGTGCCCAAAGTAGGCGACAATAAATTCGGCTGGGATTAGTGCAAGGACTTACTTAAAGCATATAAAAGCGAAGCACAAAAGGCAAGGAATAAATCCTGGAGGGATTTCTATGATTACTTGGACGGAATAAACGAGGTAGGCCGGCTTAGGAAACTCCTAACTAAGAATCCAAGCATGCTAAGTCTGGTACGTAAAAGTTGTGGGGACTAGATCACGTCGCTGGAAGATCTGGTCAATACTCACTTTCCGGGATGGTTGTACTTGATAGTGGAGAAGGTATAGTAGGTAGTATCCCGCTGAACGCGATCACTTCATGGTGGAATGAGCAATTAATAGTTTTGAAACCTACAAGTCTTCGGAAGTAGACGGAATATTCCAGCCTTGCTCCACTTGGAGGTGCCATGGCTGAAGACGATATTTTTGGAGTGGTTGAGATTAGGCCATCTGTCAGTACTATGGAGAGAAGCGGGAACTGCTTTTATACCTAAGGCAAATATTTAAAAGCAACCCAGTTTTCTCAAAGAAATTCAGGCTACTAAGTCTGACCCCATTCCCCCTTAAAACGGTAGAGAAAATGTTTGACGCTCACAAGAGACACTCTGGCGCCAGGCAACTACGGGCAGAAGCTGCACTACACTCGTTAGTACAACACATTGAGAAGACTCTACAATACAAAGAATGCGCTTTACGAGTATTTTTGTAAATTATTATTATTATCTATCCCTTTGTGGATTAAAAGTATTTTAGGCAACAGGAAGATAAGAGAGGAATAGAATGACGCAAAGGTAACAGCAAGGGGGTGCACTCACACTGCTCTTCTGGCTAAAGACGGTCAATAAATTACTTTGGCAATTCGGGGGGAAAGCACCTAGACTAGTGGCGCATGCAAACGACATAGGCGTAGTAGTAACCGGGAAGTACCAAGCCACTATCGGCAACGTAGTCATCAGCTCGTTGGAAAGTCATTGACCCAAAGGCAACTCCAGCAGTGCTAGGGGTTAATGCAGACAAAACTGGCTCGATACTCTTTACAAGAAGATACAAAATTCCAGGGTGTAGGCCCCCGAGGCTTCCTAACATTGAGCTGTTAATCAAAGGCCACACAAAGTTTTTTGCAATTGAATGCAAAAGAAAGTTGAAAGTTACTTTGGATGCCTGAAGCCTGTCCTGATACATTGGTGCTACACATCATTAGTCAGATTCAGACTACTCCATGGCGTTTTGGTCCGGTGTAAGGACGCAAAACAATCTTCATACCCCGGCCCAATAGAGAAAGTTAAGCGTATCGGAGCACTGTGCATCCCGAACATGTTGAGGTATCCGCCAAAGGCTGCTGTGGAAGAATCCTCAGTTTACCGCCCATTAATCTAATCGCAGAAAATTGTGCTAGTAAATCTGCGTGTGGATTAACGGCCATAGGCAGGGACCGTAACAGTTACAAATTTTATTATAAAAATCGCGATTTAACAATTATTTTTTACTTTATTCAATTACCCCTTAAATAACAGTTACTTCTGATTTTTAATTTATAAACAGTTACCCATGATTTTTATTTTATAAATCCAAAATAACAGTTGTTTTTAATTTTTATCTAAATAAACTGCGATTAACAGTTATTTTTAATTTTTAAATTAAATGTCTTAGATAACAGTTATTGACGACTTCTATTTATAAAAGTCATCAATAAAAATCAGTCAGTGACCTTTATTTTTTAAATCATACTTATAAAAGCCATTTGGTAAAGTCGTAGTAAACTTTTGTTAATTGTTATTTTGGATTTATAAAATAAAAACAAAAAATCATTTTTTTTTTAATTTTGCATAAAAATTACAAAAAAAAATATTTTGAAATCAGAAAAAAGGTGAAAAAAGAAATCGAGTCGTATGTACCACTTAGTGGTAGAACATTTTCTTCATAGTGGATTTTTCAATTACAGTTTTCATCAATAACTGTTATGTTCGGCCCCTGGCCGTAGGGAATTCAATTTCGGAATTTTTGGGTACAGTTCAATTGGAGCGAGACGCACTGGCACCGTAGATTATATGGCATCTTGCTTTAATTGGGAACGAGGGTTTCCCATAACAATTGAAGAGGCCCAATGGAGTTAAACTTAGCCGTATATCCCTCAAAATTTATTCACAGGCGTCTCTAAAGAGTCGAAGGGAGTGTGGGCGAAAATTCATTGCCAGAAACTGAACATCAGACGGGCAGTAAGGTTGTCGGACCAGTGCAGCGTATTTCAAGCAGAGGTGTCCGCTATGAGGATAGTTGCAGAACAAGCCTATACGGAAACACGTCACAGTAGAGCTTAGCGTTTAAATCACCTACCAACGGTGGAAGGTTTAATGGGTTAAAGTCTCTCACTAACGGTTTTGGGGTTAAGCTTTCAATGCTTACTTCTTTCAAAAACAAACACCTTCGGAATTCTTTCTCCGCAGAAAAAATAAATACTAAAGGAATGCTGAACCTTTATTCATTTAAGTAACTGATAGTTTCAGTTGTTTGATAGAGACGAGGTGGAAACAGAATCCATTTTATTCAGATCATCTACTTTGGCAACTGTTATTCGCGGACCTCGACAGCTTCATCTCGGCCATTAAAAGAGTAAAATAGTTTTGATAAAATAATAGCAGGATTAAGGTTTAAGGAAACTTTCCGAATGTTTCATAGTATATCTATGTAGCCGCCGCGTGAACTTATAACGAGTACCTTACTCAAACTGACCTGTAAACAAATAAAAATCGACAAATCTACTTAACTCGACAAAAAGGCATATTGCCTGTGACACAAAGCAGAAATCACCACAAAATCCTTACCAAACAGGTGCAAGTTAATCAACTTTTCGAAGTTCGCTTATAATCACTCTTCTTTGCATTTCGTGTCTAGCTTTCTGACAGGTAACTGTACCTACACATGCAGTAATGAATACTACTCCCATACACACCCATCTACCTATGTATGTTTGTAATACTCAAGTGACACTGCTGAAACAGTAACCAAAAACATGTCGGCGGAAATGAAAGTGTGTCAGCTTTTTTTGCTGTGTTGATGCTTGGCAGGATGTAGGAAGGCAGCAAATACATAGTAGCGAGCAAAGGCAGCAAGCGCTTGAAGGCAAAGCGCCACAGCCACCACCACCACCACCATCAACACCAACGCAGCTAACTCGATAGAAAACATGACGAAAGGCGCGTAAGATGATGAAGCAGATGCAGATGAAATGAGTGCCGCTGTAAGCGGTGGACGAAACAAACGAAGCGCATGAAGTGCCTTCAAATGTGATAAAGTGTTGTCGTCGGTGCTACAAACTACCGATGTCGATGCTGTTGCTGTTGCTGCAACCATTTTTTTTTTTTTTGCGTTGTTGTTTTGGTTGCAAGATGCCACTGAAAATTGTTAAAAGCAGATGGGTAGCGTGCATGTAAATGAATGGTTAGTTTGATGCACAGCTGGTTGAGCTCACTGCTGCTGCTGCTGCTGCTGATGGATGGCGGTTGACGGCTGAGCGCTGAACGTTGAACGTTGAACGCATAGCAGTGGCAACTGACTGGGCGAAGACATGGCTAAATATACACATATGCATGTATGTCTGTGTATATGTAAAAGTTTGCTTGGATGTTTGAAGAGGTGGATAGATGGATGGATGGCTGGATGACAGGTTGGCTGGTAGGTTAATACAAAGGCTTTTTTTTAACTTGCTGTGCAGCATGCTGTATAGGTATGTGCATACATATGTAACGTCTGTGGCATGTGCAAATAGTAATGACTAGCGGGTGACAGGTGTTGGAAAGACTATGACAGCATGCTCGACTTAGACTTGAATGACACACTTACTTTTCATTATACGATTCCGGTATTCGTCGTCGCGTTGCATTGTAACACTGCCACCGCCGTTTGAAACCATTGAGCTAACTTGTTCCATTGGTACAATATCCTGCAATGAAAAAATGAAAAAGAAGCAACAATACAACAACATTAACAACCATGAAATCAAGGATTAATCAATTCAGTTGCAATTAAAAGTTTAGTACTTAACATGGTATCTTAATTGGACTGTAATCGATTCGGCTGCAAAAAACACAAGCGAACAAAGAGTTAGACAAAATATATATTTACATGTGTATTGTAATTTATGTCTTATTATACGCTACCCTTTGAAAAGCGCTAAAGTAAAAATTATAATTTATTGGCATACCCGATAGAGGTTGTCCTGCGAAAAATTACTTACTTATTGGACCCAAAATTGCGGGAATACTAAATGGAATTAAAGCTGACAAAGAAGTCAGCACTGATTACATTACGCCTGTTTGGGACTTCAATACGAAGATACCCATTAGGTTCCCGGCTACAGAAGAATGGGATGCAGGACTACCAGCAGCAGAGGGAGGTATAACCATCTACACTGACGGTTCAAAGATGGAACAGGGAACTGGAACCGGTGTCTACTCGAAGGACCTGCAAATCAACCAGTCCTTTCGCCTACCGAACGAATGCAGTGTCATCCAAGCGGAGATCTACGCTATAGATAGTGCGGCTAGTCTTTCACTTAGTAGTAGAGTTCTAGAAGACAAAGCCACTATTTTTGTCGACACTCAGGCAGCACTGAGGGCAATGGGATCTCGAATAGTGAAATCGGTAATGTATAGAAATATCGCACCACGCAGGCTTCACTAAACCGTATCAACGTCGCTCTATTCTGGGTTCCAGAGCATAGCAATATTGAAGGGGATGATGTGGCTCAGAGAAGCCAATAAAAGAAGCGGCTGAGTGGGAAAAATACAAGGGACATACTGAAACTCAATCGATCTGCAGTAAAAGTCCTTATCGGCGCCATCACAGGACATTGTGCTATAGCACCAATGCTTCAATGGTGGCGAATACCAACGAGTACTCTCTACAGAGGCTGCCATGATGAGGATCAGGAAGAGTCAATTGACCACTATCTGTGTCGATGTCAAGGTCTACAGACGAAGCGACTTAAGCACTTGGGTTTACGCTTCTTCAACAGTCTGGGCGAAGTAGCACAGGTGGAACTGTTGGATCTCCTCGGCTCCATCGGGGATAGTAATTGGTTCAGTAAAATAATGACTTAAAGCTACTCTTTCGATTTAGGTACGTGTCTCCTCCTGACGCTCACCATTTGCAATTCTGTCTCCGAGTAAAAGTATGGATTATTCCACGTAAGCCTCCTAACCTTAACTAACCTACTGGAACCACACAATTAAAAAAATATCACTAAAGGGGCTTTTTATATGAAATAGAATCAATCGGACTTTAATGCTTTGCCGCCAATTCAAAGCTACGATCAAAAACTCCATAGTTTTAGTTAATAATGGTGCGAATTTTATATATGTATGTACTACAAAATCCGCTTTTGAGATGGCATCTCTTGCTGCACTTTAGTTTAGAAAGACGAAGCAATAGGAATCGGTATTATATAGACCGTTTTGTGGAATCTCTGGTTCTGGATAAAAACTTCCTCACAAAATTCCCGAGCAGGAAGGAATGGGTAGAAAACCACTTTAATCTACACCAGTGATTCCCATAGTGGTCCAGCTGGACCCGGGAGACTCGACGGGGGTATACGTTGGCGAGAAAAAAATATTGGGGTAAAGAACCAAAATGCTTGCTTGTTAGCCTCTTTATTTAACTTTAATTTTTTTGAATAGTGTATAGTGCTCTTCACGCACTGCTGCACTTACACTCACTTTGTGTCTTCATACGTGGGAAGTCCTTAAATGCCACCTGCAGACTAAAACGAAACGGATGTTGGTATAACACTGAATGGGGCGAGGCGGAAATTGCCCGCAAAGCTTCCTAAAACCCCTCCCGTTTGATAACTCTATTTAAATATTTCATTTAACTTGTCGAATAAAATGATTTCAAATTTCTAAATGGGCGGTAACTATCTTCAAAAATATTTTCGAAAGAAAGCTTTCTCAACCCTCTGTCGTTTGGTAACCATATTAAAATATTTCGTTTGACTGTTTAAGTTAATTGTTTATGAATTTCTTAACTTTACTTTTCGCCTTTCACATTTGGTACCCATACTAAAATATTTGATTTAAATAGTTAAATAAATTGATTTTATGTTTATGAACAGGTGGCAACTCTCTTCAAAAATATGTTTGAACCATTTGTTTGACAACCACATTGTTATAATATTCAGCCTAATTTAACAAATAGCTGATTTTATATTTTTTGAAAAAGTTGCAACCTTCTTCTTAAAAATATGCTATATATATTATAATCCAGCTCATATCCTATAAGTGTGCCAAATTTCATTGCCGTGTTGGCACGAAAGAGTAACAAACATAAACCCTCACTAACTCACAAACTTTCACATTTATAATATTAGTAGGTTCGATTAAAACCATTTTCAATTTCTAAACAGGTGGCATCTCTCTTCAAAATATTTTTCAAAAGAAAGCTTTCTTAACCCTCTCTTGTTTAATACCCATATTAAAACATTTCTTTTAACCTTTAAAGTAAATTGTATTTGAATTTCTTAACAGGTGGCAACACTCTTTAAAAATATTTAGAAATAAATTTGTCGTAAAGCTTTCTCATTTGGTACCCATACTAAAATATTTGATTTAAGTAGTTAATTAAATTGACTTTAAGTTTATGAAATGGTGGCAACTCACTTCAAAAATATTTTCGAAATAAATCGTTTTTGAACTGCTTTTGTTTGACACCCACATTGTTGTAGCATTTTATCTAACTTTGATAAATAATTGATTTTAACTTTCGAAAAAGAGTGGCAACCCCCTTCAAAAGATATCCTATGTATAAGTCCAGGTGATATCCTATAAGCGCGCCAAATTTCATTGAAATACGTGCAGCTATTTTAGCCTGAAAGAGCTACAAACAAACACACTTACTCAAAAACTCACATTTATAATACGTCTTACATGTCCAGGTTTCAAATAACCAACTAATTGTTTGTTTTGTTTTAGGTTTTCTTGCAAGCGTTCAGTTTATCTCTGGCAGTGTCATCTCCCATACTTTCATTGAATAAAGATTTGCGGTCACAGACAAACATTGCTTTAAGGGCGGGCAGTTTCATTAATCATCTTACATTTTCTGAATGAGTTCTAACACAAAAGAAATCAAACGTTCGAAATTAAATTATTTCTACGATAATAATAGCATCGACATTTGCACCACGAATTTGTATGAAATGGAAGTTTAATATAAAGCCACAATATTTCATTTCTTTTTTTATCAGCTGTCTATCTTTCAAACGCTTCAACGCGTCAAGGTTACACAAATACAGAAGCAGAAATGAAAAGGAAAAGAAATACCAAATGAAAAAATCGAAAAACAACAACAAGCATCGCCGTTTCAAATAAAATCCCAAAAGAAATAAATAAATGGATATTTTTTTACGGAGTAACCACAAATTCAAACCACAATACGAAAAGGCCACGTGCTAGACTCTTGAATAGCCTTGACTACGTACACACATATACTGAGCTTAATACCCTTCAATTTCACGGAAATCGTCATTCGCGTCTAAACTGTTATACCTTCATCACTGGAACTTCATCAATTTCCAAAGCATAAACATTCCGCCTCATTGTCAACCGTCGGATTCTCTGTCGATGCTAATTCAACGGAAATTGTTTAACTGCAGAAGTGGACAGCAACTCATTAGCAGTTGAGTTAATTAATTAACAATACAATTACGCAACTACATATTTATTTTCCCATTTTTCTCGATTTAGTACTTCTCCACAATGCCAGCTGTTTATTTTTGTTTAGCTAATACTAAGCTTTAGAAACAACGAAAGAGTCCGAGAACAAATATAGAAAGCGTTGTGGTTAATTCGTATTTCTGCCACTCACTGCGGCTAAAATGATTATATTAGTGGCTTTAGCCCTGACTCTGCTAAAACTTATTTGTTTCATTGCCCGGTAGGGAGGCGGCTTGTATGAAGACTTAAAAGAAAGTGTGCCACTTAGGACGGCAACTAGTCCCAATTAGATTTAAATACATCAAAAACTTCCAACTTTTTATTTTCATTTTATCGGGTAACCTGCCAATACCCAAGCTCTTGGCTACCCTTTCAATAGATCGAATGTGGTGCAAGTAAACAGAAATGCACTGATCACCACCAACTATGATTTCATATGCAATGCATAGGTGTTATCGTGGAGTAGGAATTCCCGCTCTGCCTTGAGGACGAGGAAACTTTTCAACACATTCTTTGTGACTGTCCAGCCTTGGATGCACAAAGATTGATTTATTTTGATGCTCCAATTACCAGTTTCTTAGAAATAGGGAGCCTCACTATCAAGACCCTTTTGGGATTAAGAAAACCGAGGTTGTCTTGGGCATACTGGGTTAAGGACAATTTCTAGAGATACAAAAGACCTTTTAGGTCGTAGTGTCTCTTGTTTTGTCATGCCCCTGCAGTTATTTTATCTTTTCTCGCCATTTCTACGCAATATTTGATACCCAACAGCGAAGAGTTCCGCTTTCTCAGAATATGTGCTTTAGCCGGATGTACAAACATCTGTGACTAGTAGGCCTTCTCGTAGTCTGAAGACGACATTTTGGGTCTACCTTGGTAGTTTAAGCGCATTAGCGTCCAGAAGTGGTGATTGGATTCGTACGACGACGTCCACAGAACGGGAGTCTGTATAGGTGGTAGCAGTATCCCTGTTTATTGCCAGTCTGTACAGTCTCATATCAAATGGTTGTTGTATTAATGTATCATCTGACGTGCCTATATGGAGGTTAAGCATCAAGCAAGCGTCAGTTCGTGTACTCACGTCTGAATCACCCTTACTGGCAGCATCTGGGCCGCACTATGAATGCAGTGTTCTGGCATCATCAGAAGGGATGTCTGTAGCTTTGTCCACTGTATGCTACCACACGAACGTTGCATAGTTTAGAGTCGGCCGCCATATTGCCTTGCCAAAGCT